CTGTATGTATATATATATATATATATATATATATACCTTGCTACGTGTACTGCGTTAGGCTAACCGAGACTTGTCATTTGTACTTATATATTGTTGCTCTTTTGTTGATTTTGATTGCTTCTATTGTCCTCATTTGTAAGTCACTTTGGATAAAAGCGTCTGCTAAATGACTAAATGTAAATGTAAATGTACTATAGTCCACCCTACTGGTGATAAAGGCATGAAGAAGTTTCTTCATTGTTTTCAAGTCTTCATTGAAAACAAAAGATCTAATTCTTGCAGTGTTTTTGAGATGATAGTATGCCGATTTAGTTACTGCTTTGACGTGACTACTGAAACTAAGGTCTGACTCCAGAATCACACCAAGATTCCTGACCTGATTTTCAGTTGTTTGACCCCTTGAGAACTTCATCTTTGTTTCTAAACTCAATCAGTCAATGGGGCTGTAGTCATTACGTGATAAGGCTAGGATAAATCTGGGTGTCATCTTCATAGGCAGATTGCTTCTTTCTCATTATTTGGCTCAGTGGGAACATATACAGTGTGAAATAAATAAATAAAATAATATGTGTGAAATATCAGTCAAATGCCCCCCACCCCTCTTCAAATTAATCTGACATTAATTAGTCAGGGTTGTTATAGTTAACTAAGACTAAAACTGAAACCATTAAACATTTTGTTACTTGAAATAAAATGTGTTAACTGAAATTAAATATAAAAATGTAAAACTTATTTCAGCTAGTTACCAAGGCAACATTTTTTCATTTTCATTTCATTATTTAGTTTAACCTGTTAACCTGCTCCCCCCATTTTGGGACTCACACCTGAAAATGACATACCTAACTTACAATGGTAACAGTTCCTGAACACAGTGTGCTACACACACAATTTGGGTATCGTTGGAAAGAAGACACTTTAGGCTTTATTATCCATCAGTTGATAATGCTCAAAAAGATAAAAAGTTATAGACACTGAAGTGCCTTGAAAAAAATTGTACCACACTGAATGTTTTTTTATTTATGTCATATACAAATACATGAAATCAGTCCTTGAGCAATCCAGAAAAGTAATGGGTTGAAAGTCACATGTCTCATGAGTATATATTTCAAATTTTAAGAAGATACCATGAAATATGAGATTCCTGCAGCCATTTTTCTGAGACTATGTCTAGTCCCCCACCCCGTTTGAGGAAAAATAGCCACCAAATGTAACCCTTACAAATGTAAGGGTTCTACAAACTATTTTAGTCATTATACATACCACTGCATACTTTTTCAATTATAAAATAATAGACTGAATCTTAGACATTGTATAAGTGATTTATTTGAGCACTAGAAAAATACAATAAGAATAATTTGTAGTAATAATAAGAAAAAAAAAGAAGCTTTGTACGTCAAGTACATACTCTGATTTCCAGACATACAGCATTCACACTGATAGGTCATACAGTCAGTAATCACATGCTGATGGCCGGTCATACAGATGGTAATTATACAGATGGCCGGCCATATAGTCAATAGTCACACTCTTATGGCCGTTCATATAGACAGCATTCACACTGATAGCTGGTCATTCAGTCAGTAATCACACGCTGATGTGCGGTCATACAGATGGTAATCATACAGACACAGCCACATTCCCCACAAAAAAACACACACACACACACACACACACACACACACACACACACACACACACACACT